TATATTAAATTTATAACGTCATGAATTTTGAGAGACATCTTCTTTGATAATGTTTTAGTAATAAAAAGCAAACATTACTGTATTTGGTTAAACGTAGGCTCAAAGCGACATTTTTCGTTCTGTTATCAGTCATTTGTCCTCTAATTTTGTAAGACTTTTGAAGGTTGGTTTGTTATTAAAATCGTTAACGCTTTGTTTTGAGTCCTTATCTTTAATTTTACTTTTGTTCGACAATGGTGGCATGATTAGAATGGAATAATATTTTATTTGAGATGTTTTTAGAGTGCGGTCTTATTATTTTCAGCAAAAATGACATATTTGACTCTTTCCTTTTGTTTTATGAGATTAACAAGCTTGTCAGGAAAATTACTAAATTAGTTTCAGGTTTGTTAAACAAACTTATCAATTGCCAAAATGTCATTCAACCAACCGTTAATTATTTCTAAAACTAAAAAAATGTTTTAGTGAAACTTAGCAACAATTTATTCTTCCATTGACCTAGAAAGTTTGATACTGTATTTTACACTCCCTTTGGGTTACTATATGACCAAGCGTATTATAATACAATGTAACTAATTATGCTTAAGATAATGATAACAGTGTTGCAAGTACATTAGAATTTGAAACACTATAAACTCAACGTCTGTATAAGCTCTAAATTTTATGTCCATTAAAATTTTGTGTTTTGTTTTTTATAAAAATGTACCAACACGAGTGTGGAAAAAAAGTTAATTAAATTCATTTCACACAAGAGAAGTGTATAAACAAGTACGTACTACATTATGGGATTTATAATTAAAATATGTGAATTTCTAATAAACTGTGGGTGTTATTAAATTAATTGTTGAAAATTTTATTCCGCAAAAACTATAAATTTAAGGAAATTTTAAAGCTTATAAACGTTGTCCAAAAATAGCTTACGTTTAAATTTTAAGTAGCAAAAGTTTAGCTTGTCCAGTTTTACGAAAGTTAATATTCATATTGTGGTATTTTTTCCCAGTTAGTGATTTTAATTGTAAGGGAAAAATTACGTTTGTTAATAAAATTGCATTGCATTGAGTTGGTAATATTTAACATATTTGTAAAAATTTATCAGCTCTTTTACATACAGTGTTTGTGTACGTGTGTGTGTGACAGATGAAAAGATCTGTATAACCAAATACTAAAAGCAAATATTTTATGATAACGTTAATTAGGTTTTAATTTATCACATGAATGCAATTATCATCAATTTGACTTAATTTTAGGCACATACAAAATTAGTTTAAATATATGTTTTTACTAGCGTGTCTGTTCTATTTGTAAACTAAAAAAAGTGTTAATTAATTAAAATTAAACAAATTGAAGTTCTCATCAGTTTGTCTTTACATATTAAATAAATAACAGCGCATGTTTCATGAAGTTTGTTACCACAATAAGAAGCATCTGGCTTCTTGTTCGTCGTGAAATTCATGTCAGCAATGGTTAATTTGAGTATCAGGATAAAAAGCGGTTGGCAATAGTTCCAGTTAAACTTTAAAAACTTGACATATGCGCCGCTAAACCTACCTGACTTTTCATGGGATCAGTGTTAATCTGACACATGTATTGTCCTCTGTCCTCCTCTTGCACGTTCTTGATGTGGAGATTCCATGTGGTGTGGTCGTTATGAGACACCGATACTCGGGGGTTGTGTGTGATCACATGGTCGTGGATCGCTTGAATTGCCTTGGTGTCTGCCTTCACCCATCCCACCTGTGAGACATATGTCAACCCTACTTGTTATGCGCAAGTAGTCGAAGGGCCATCTGTGGCGTTTGTGAATCATTCGCAAAGAGCACGGAAACAAAGCAAATGAAATATCAATACACTCGCTGATATTGAAAGCTTTACCGTACTAAGGTACAAATGGAAGACGAAGGGAATCAATAAAACTTTTATTATATGTTATATATTACCGGATAAAGTTTGAAGATCATCTGCCTAAAATACAATCTTCAAACGTTCACGCAGTTTTCTCGAACAGCTTTTTACTCATTAATTCTTCAAAATTTTGAACACGGAACAAGAAAATGTAAAATTAACTAAAGTTGATATACTTACATAGTAAAGAGTAAAAAGGTAAGTAACTATTTGTTATTAAATATTTAACGAAAAATTGCTAAAATGATCTATTGTTTTCAGAATTCTGTAAAATTAACATAAACTATAAACATACCTTTAATATTAAAAAAAAAATCTTTTGTAAAATGGTGGATGCGTCGGGTTAAAAAGCTACTCTATATAGTATCTAATTTTTTGTAAACGGTGCCATAACAAATTTAAATTGGAGAATTTAAATACATATATTGTCACTTTTAAAGGAGTAGTTGATGCAAATCAGTTAATATTTTGTCAAAGTTTATTTTAGAAATTACTTTTTAAACACACTTTAAGTCACATAATCAATAAAATTGATAAACATTTAATTTTCATTGAATAAATATACCAAAAACTAATTTAGTATTTTAAAATATT